TAATTATCATTTATTTTTGACAATTCAGACTTGGAAATCTAAATACATTTGGGAAGTCCGTCACTCAGGACAATTCCATGTCCCCACTTTTCTTCTTCATCTCTTCCAGAATCTCCTTTATTTCAGTCTCGGATACAATCTTCCCACCTAATAGCTCAAAAATAAAAATCCCGAATGGTTCATTGAATTCTCTGTGAAGATATTCGTCCCTGTTTGTTATAAAGTGGAAAAGTGGAAGAGATACAGAAAAGGGGCACATATGCAACCTGTATAAATTTCTCTGCTCTTTGATTTTAATATTTAATTAATTTCATGGAATTACATTGCTAATACTTCCTAATTAGGTCAACAGGTGAATTTCGCCATTGTTCTTCTTGTCTCATCAAAAATCATTTGTTTAAGGAGCTGTGCAAGGTATCTTACAAACAGGGTTAGACAAGAGCTTTAGTACATTCTATAAACTGGATTCTGTATATTTGTAAATTATGCTGACAGGCACTCCTATAACACAATGAGGTCAAAACAATCTCACCGAAAATGGACTTTTCATGCTATACTCAAGCCAAAAAAAAAAAAAAAAAGGAAAATGATCATAAAAGCACTATATTATGTGTACAGAAGAAAGTTGTTAAATTCAATCCAAGACAATGGATGCTTTTCAGCTAATCTTAAAGGGACTAAATGAAATAGATTCTTTAAATGTATAGCAACAGGACAATAATTAAAGATGTATTTATGAAGAAACTACTGCATGAAAAAAATACTATATTACATGCTATAAAGTATAACATAATTATTAAGATACAGTTAATGATTTAGAGGGTTTGCAACTCAAAAGAGGGGCCAGGATATGCATACAATTAAATGGAACAAAACAGAACATAAATGACATGTGTTTGAGGCAAAGTTTAGCCTGAAAGAATATAGCTGGATTGAATAGATCTACTAAAATTTAACTCACTCATTCAGCTGCTATTGATTGAGTACCTACTAGGTGCTCTTCTCACTAAGGGACACTGATAACTGCAAACTAAATTCTTGACTACTTTTCAGGATACAGGGCAGAGAATGGAAATAGTGTCAGCTTTGGAGTTAGAAAAACCTGAATCAAAACCCTATCAACTATTCATTGGGTGACCGGGGCAAGTAATTTATAATCTCTTAGCTTCGTTGCAGAAATCAGAAGATCATCTTTGATTCTCCCTTCCAACCTCGTCCTATGTATAGTTCATCAACAAATTAGTCTTTAAGTATTTCTTGGATACATTCCATCGTCTCCATCCCCACATCCCTAATCCTAACGTTGGCTCTCCTGATTGCTTATGGATTCTGTAAACCAAATTTGCTTTCGATCTCCATACCATTCTTTTTCAATCTATCATGCATGTTGTAACCAGAGCAATATTTCTAAGACTTTTACCTCACTACAACGCTCCTCTGCTCAAAATTCTTTAGTTACTTCTCATTGTCTAGAAGATGCAAGTCTACACGTCTTAATAAGGCATTTAAGACTTTTAATGAGCTGAACTCTGCTTACATTTTTAACCCCACATGCCAATCTTCCTCCATATAGACCTTACGTTTCTCTAACCACCAGCCTGTTTTGTGCTCTGTGCCTTTGCATACACTACTTTTTAACACCAAAGCCTGAAACATTGCCCCCATCCACACTCCAACAATCCCATCTGGAAAACTTAAAAATTTTAGTCTTCCTTTAAGACTTTGCTCAAACACCATCTCCTTTGTGGAGAATTCCTTGAGAATCTTGGTACAGGTAATTTTTCTGTCATCAGTATGTGCACAACATGTTTTATATACCTACATTAGCACAATGCATTCAAATGTCATGTTTGTGTATATGCCAATTGCCTCAACAAGACTGAACACCTGAGAGCAAAGACAAGGCTTTTAACCTTTGAATCCTCAGCCCTAACGTAACGTCTGCCATGGAGAGGCTGTGCAATAAATATTTATTGTAATAATGAAGTCATATTTGGGGATCAGTGGAAAGAACCAAGAAATGCTTTGTGGAGGAGGTGGTATATGAGGTTGGCCTTGAAAAACTTCTGAAATAGTTTCTTAATTTTAAAAATGTAACTTTGGGATATTCAGTGTTTTAACACACATAATGTATACATCTTCATGATTCTCCCTTTAATACATAAGTGTTTTGCCGGTAAGGCTTTGTTTCTTCTATTCAAGGCGCAAGGTGCAGTTGCTTTGAGTGCGATGAAGACTATGTATGTTAATTATCTGATTTAAAGAAGCATCTTCCTCATGTTTTTTGGAAGAAGATATCATTCTGATTCTCCAGCACAATGTGGTATCAAAAGTACTTGACTTTTTAGCTGGGTCATAGATACACCATACCTTCTAGCGAATAAAAATGTTGATATTCACTATGTACATTTAATTTCCCCTGAACATATTTAAAGTATATAAGTAAGTATACCTTTGATCCATAATGGAAAATACATGAAAGCCCTATGCACCTTACTGCTATTCAATTAATTCCCTCTGGGCAGATCACCTAAGTCTGATTGTAAAAGTAACAACTGGGGCATCATTTCATTCCAAATCATGTGTAATTCAAGTTATCAGTGATGGTTAAACTCTTAGGTATTCCGGCAGATTACTCTCTTTTTATGTTCAGTTAGCCACTGTATAGCACATAATTAGTCCTCGATGCAGTGTTCAGTGACTCGTTAGTTAAGTATAACACCCAGTGCTCATCCCAGCACGTGCCCTCCTCAATACCCATCACCCTGTTATCCCCTGCCCCCACCCACCTCCCCTCTGAAACCCCAGATTGTTTCTCAGGGTCCATAGTCTCTCATGGTTCATCTCCCTCTCTGATTTCTCCCCCTTTGGATTTCCCTCCCTTATCCTATGGTTATCCGTGCTATTACTTATGTTCCATATATAAGTGAAACCATATGATAATTGTCTTTGTCTGTTTGACTTCACTTAACATAATCCCCTCCAGTTGCAGCCATGTCAATGCAAATGGTGGGTATTCATCGTTTGATGGCTGAATAATATTCCATTGTGTATATGTACCACATCTTTATCCATTCATCTGTTGAAGGGCATCTCGGCTCCTTCCACAGTTTGGCTATCGTGGACATTGCTACTATGAACATTGGGGTGCACGTGCCCCTTCTTTTCACTACGTCTGTATCTTTGGGGTAAATACCCAGTAGTGCAATTGCTGGGTCATAGGGTAGCTCTATTCTTAACATCTTGAGGAACCTCCATACTGTTTTCCAAAGTGGCTGTACCAACTTGCATTCCCACCAACAGTGTAAGAGGGTCCCCCTTTCTCCACATCCTCGCCAATATTTGTTGTTTCCTGTTTTGTTAATTTTTGTCATTCTAACTGGGGTAAGGTGGTATCTCATTGTGGTTTAGATTTGTATTTCCCTGATGGCTAGTGATGTTGAGCATTTTTTCATGTGTCTGTTAGCCATTTGTATGTCTTCTCTGGAGAAGTGTCTGTTCATGTCTTCTGCCCATTTTTTGACTGGGTTATTAGTTTTTTGAGTGTTGAGTTTGGGAAATTCTTTATAGATCTTGGATATCAGCCCCTTTATCTGTAACGTCATTTGCAAATATCTTCTCCCATTCTGTGGGCTGCCAGTTTTGTTGACAGTTTCCCGTGCTGTGCAGAAGCTTTTTATCTTGTTGAAGTCCCAAAAGTTCATTTTTGCTTTTGTTTCACTCTCTGGCAGATTTCTTATATGAATTATTAAATGAAATTAACAGAACTTTCTGAGATATTCCATTCTTAATTATTGAATGTTTCCACATAAGATCTGTTTAAGTAGTCCTACAGAAGGAAAAAAGAAACCATCAATACCAATAAAGAAATTATGAATTGCAGAAAGAATTGCAGATGAGAAAGAAAAATAAATCTACACTCTTGCAGTCTGCTTTAGGTACAACTATTCCCTTCATTCTAAACCTTCATATTTACCAACACAAATCTTAATTTTGGTAGCACATCATGGTTAGAAGCCACAGAAATCGTCTTTGGAGACCTCAGTGGGTTTTTCAAGAGAGCTCTGTGAAGAAACCTCTGATGTCTGTCATCTTCAACTCGGGAAATCCCTGCATAGGAAGAAAGGTATTGGCTAAACTTGAGGATTTCCTTAAGTGTCTAGAGGAAACATTTTTAAGTGGGATAGAGTAGTAGCATCTCACGTATAGCTAAAGACATATAAGCACAATTACATGTGGATTATAACCCACAGTTATATGTGAATCAGGAATTCAAATTTGGAAGGGAGGGCCGGCTCAATTTATTCCTTCTTCCGGTCAAAAGCTGAAGGGTGGCTCCCAACCTTTGGCTGTCTACACTTTGGGAGTCTTCAGCTGAGTTCTCAGCCTCTAGTTGAGCGTTGACTTGCTCCAGGCCAAGCCAGACATTCTAAAGGAAGTCAACTTCATTTTAGCGGCAAACCCTCAGACCCACGCACCTTCTCACAACTCTGCCTTTCTCGGATTCTGAGCTAGAGTGGGCAGAGCACGAGGTACCGAGGACTGGCTCACAAGGGGCGTTTGGGGACGACACTTTCGAACAGCATTTGTAGCTGCCAAGAGTAGCCAACAAGCACCAGATTTATGAGCATTTTGAAAGAAGCACCTTCACCATTGGCTTTTTGAGCGGCGCTGTCGCTAGGGAGCGGCGGGCAGGGCGAGCACAGCCCCGGCAGAAGCCCAGGCTGTTTGTTCCTGTAACCCGGGAGAGGGGACGCACACAGTCGGGCGCGCGGACACACACGCACGCTCACGCACGCTCGCGGCGAGTTCGAGCCCCGCAGCCCCCGACCGCCCGAGGGCGCCCCCCGCGTCGCGACAGGCGGAGCAGCATCCGCCCTCTCGCTCCTGCTGCTGCCGCCCAAAGGAGAGAGGAACCTGGAACCTCTGCCTAGAATTTCCCCCGGCGCCGCGCGCTGCGGGGAGCGGCGGAGGTGGGCGCGAGGAGGAGAACGCGGTGAATGAGTTCTCCCCTCGCCTCGGAGTTGACTGAGTTGGCGGCGCCGCGCCCGGGCTTCCGGCTTTCGGCGCCCCACGCGCTCGCTGCTCGCGGGGCTGCAGCCCACGCCCGCGGCCCGGGCTTTGCCCGCCGCGCCGGGGGAGCCGAGGCTCCAGAGCTCCTGTCCCGGCTCCAGTCCGGGAAAAAGGAGGGCTGTCCCCTGGCCGAGGCGCACGGCCGCGCGCTTTTCCCGCACTCTCCGCGGCCGGATCTGTCTCTCCATGGCGTCTCATCAGCAATCCCGGATCCAGGCTTACCTGGAGAAGAACAAGATCGGTCCCCTGTTTGAGGTAAGGCGCCGTGGGTGAGGGCGGTCCCGTTTGTGTTTGGGGGGAGGGGTTCAGAACACCCGGAGGAAGGAGCGTTAGTGAAAAAATGCGCGGGAGGAGGCGGCCGTGCGGCCCCAGTTCATTGGCATTAGCTCTGGCCGGGCCAGGTGTCCTGGAACGCGGCCGGGCGGGCTCCTCGCTGGTTACCTGGGAGCGGACAGGTGAGCTGGAGAGGGCCCAGCCTCAGTCTGGCAGGGAAGTTTGAGCGGTCTGACCGTCCTGCATCTCGCAGCCTCATGCACAGGACCCGGACAGGCTGAGACGGATGGATGCACACACTTAGACTGCCTTACACATGCACACTTTCTTCCTGGAATTTACCCTATATTGCGTGTTGGATTTTTTTTTTTTTTTTAGTGTAGGCAGTAGTAGAACCCAGAAAGGGGGAAGAGGTGCTTAGCAATGGAGAGGAATATGGTTAAAAAACTGAAGTGGTAAGGAGTAGGCTTCGGTAGGTGCTGGCGCGTTGAATGAAATTGTCAAACTGAGACCCTGACATTGATGTCTGGATGGACGGAGAGTCCTTTGCATTGCAGACCCTACATGTGTTAGGGGGAGAAAGGGGCGGAGGAAGATTCAGGAAAAGCATACACGTATTTATGAGAAGAGACGTGTAGCTCTGAGCTGTTTTCTCTCGCCATCAAAGAACTGTGACAGAAATACAGTAGGAGAAAGGAAGAGCGGGAGGACATGAGGAAACGGGAGACTGAACCCGGCGCCGGCAAAGCGTCCCGCGGGTAGCCAAAGCGCTGGGCAGACGCCGGTGCCGGCGGGGAGGGACGCCCACGGTCCGTTCCCATCTCGGTTCAGCCGTCCAGCTGGGCACTGATAGGAGACGACCGGACGTGGAAGGGTCAAGATACCCCCACCCCCGCAAAAAAGCAGTTGTGGTCATTATTCGGGGTTTACGTGTCCGCGGCGTCGGAATAAGGCTGGAACGCGCTGGGGGGAGAGAGAACCGAGCTGGTTCCCTAGTACTGAAGAGAAGAGAATAACTGCAGAGAAAAAAAATAATACGAAATAATGCCCTAGCAGAAAAAGGGAGAGAGAGGCAGACAGGAATGTGATCAGATATGGGAAGGATGGGTTTCAGATAACTAGATCTCAAGTTTTTCTGCCCAACTTTAAGTTAACGTTGTGCTGTCTAGAGAGAGATATGGCCATTGTTTCAGCTGAAACTTATTTTTTGTATAGAGTCATAAAATCCTATAATGCACGTCTTGATTCTTGTTTCTGCCAAAAGTGTTAGCAAAGGAAGTCCATATGTAAAAGCAATGTAGAATTGCTGGAGCGACTAGATTGTTCTTCTTTAATGATTAGAGACTATAAATAATTCTATCTATCAAAAGCTAAAGCATAACAAGCCTTTGTGACACAGTGTGTTGATTGTGTCAAAAGAAATATTAAAATAAATATTTTCAGAGTGTATTTACTCCCCTAAAATATAAAGTACCATTTACAGGGAGAACAAGTGAATTGTTTTAATAGATTTATTAACTTATTTTGAAATTCCTGAGACTCTCCCCAAGTGATAATAATAGAGTTTGGGATATATGTAAACTTTCTACATAATTAGGAAATAAATCCAACTTGATTTTTATCAAGTGCTCATTAAAAAAAAGTAGCTCACCAGATAGTTCTGCATTGATGAATTTTAAGTGATGGCAGAATTGTTTTCATAAAATCATAAGACCTGCTCACCGAAAACCAAACAATGACAAAATTATATGCTGTGTATTTTATTGATTTTTTGGGGGGGGTTACATATTACCTACATCCCCATTAGCTTGGATTGCAGTGATGAGTAGGTAATTTTTGAGGATTGAGATGCACTTTAAATAATTGAAGGGAGAAAATAGCTAACTTCTAAAAGCAGGTTCATATGCAAAAATTTTGATCATAACAGAGCTTGGTTTTGAGTAGAATTCTACATACTTCACAAAATTAGAAAATCTCACTAGCTTGTAGCCTCTCTCTCTTCATGCTAGAAAACCAGTGAAACTAGTGTAAAATGGATATTGTTGATCTGGCATTCTCCTCAAAGCTCTCAGGACTTTGGTCAATGGTTCTCATAAGAACTGCTTCAGGAGATCAATCAAGGAGGATCCCAGAAACCTGAACTTAGTAAGAAGTGGCACAAATGATTGTTACATATTTAATTCCTGGACCACATTGTAAGAAACAGTGCATAAGTTAAAATCTCTTACCTATCACAGATTGAAATAGGTGACTCCCAAGTTTTATCTGTTCTATGTTGTGATTTTTTTTGTGTGTGTGCTGAGGCACTGGAGTTGGTGACATAGGCTTACCTTAGTTTTGAAAATATACAAGACCCAACAATATGTTCCCTTTACAGATTTTGTAAGGTAGGAATATTTTGAGAGAACTTACTGGAGTAAGGCACTTTAAAGAGAGCACATGAATATTGTTTAAAACAAAAAGCAAAGGTAACATATACTGGTTGAGAATACTTGTATCCTGCTGTTTTTACCTATACAGCTTAATTACTTAATTTAGTTATTTAGTTTATTTCTTAGTTAGCTTATTTGCTTATTTCTAACATTTTATCATGTGAGAAGCTTTTAAAACTGTACACAGTATTGTATTTCAAAAACTAGATGAAAATTTATCTTGTTTCCAGGTGATTTAAGAGTATAAATTTATATTGCCTTTAAATGATTTAACATGCTTTGAGGCATTACAAAACCTACTTAGAAATCATTGCATTAGAGTCTTGGGTAATGATATTTTAATTAAATAATATAAAGAAAGATGTAAGGTGGATAAGTAAAAATGACTTATATTCTACAACCTCTTTGAAATTTTTGTGAGATGGAACACTATTAGTATTCTCATTGGCTTATTCAGGACAGGTTAGTAGTGAACAGCCTAGGCATCAATCTTTAAGGAATGCTGGACATCGCTTCAATAAATTAGAACTGTAGTCCTATTTAATATAGATTTCCACATGTAATGACTTACTTAATTAGCAAGATGTGAAATGGTTTGGCTTCCACCAAAGTACGGTTTTTTTGCAGCACATATGGGCAAGATTCATGGTGCAAACACAAGACTTATCTCAACCAACCACTTAATAGTTGAGGAACCTGACAGTCAAAAATTCTGAAACTGAATAATTAACTGGCATATATCTGCTTATTGGGATCATGTGATCTATTTCGTCTATATTGTAAGCAGTTAAACTTCATTCCCAATAAATTATATGATGTGGAACATCACAATAAATTCCTTATTTTCAACATAGAGAAGTATATACTTATCGGCTTCTCCCATTTCCCATGAAATAAACAGAGTAATTATTTGAATATTATTGGTTGGAAGGGTGCTTAGGGCAGTCGTATATCTTGGTTTAGGAATGATTACATTTATAAGAGAGTGAAATCCTAAACTATTAAAAGCAGGATAATGGAGCCCCCATTAACTCTCCATAGAATATTTAAATCTCTGTGTATTGAAGATGTGGCAAACCCAATTCACTATATTTCTCCGAATGTGGTCTGAACCACTCCAAGTAGAATGGAACCACTTTATCACCTCTGTTTATTTCAAAGTACCTCTACTTACATGGGCTAAATTCATGCTAACCAATTTGACGTATATGTTATGAGGTGGACTCATATCAAACAGGTGGTCAACCATCAGCTTGCATCATTCACACACCTATTACTGCACAACTTGTTTTTCTCTGGTACCCTACCCCACACTTTCCAGCCATGTCTGCAACCTTGAACTCCAGTTGGCCTGGAGATTATCAGGCAGTCGCCTGGCAGGACCAGGAGATTTGTTATATATGAGGTAGGGGGCTGTTGAGAGAATAAGTAAATATATTGAAAGTAATGCAAGCCAGCTCTCTTGCTATTAGAGATGGGAGTCACAAATATAAAAAGGAAAAAATGTAGAACGAACCCTGTGGTGTTGGATTGAAATGGGAAGTATTGGTGTATCTCATGACTTCAAGAATAGAAATAGATATCAATGTAATAGAAGTAAGCATAGATTTGTATGTATTAACATATACATAAGTATATATGCCTGCATTTATTTCCTTACTCTGTCTACTGTGATGGCCTGGGAAAAGCAATACCTCAGTAGCAATGAGCACACCTAGTGACCAGATTTTGAATTCTAAATACCATTCTTCATCAAGTAGAGCCAGGTATCCTTGGAGAAATGGTTGATTCTAGACTTGGGTCTGGGAAAGTATAAGACCTAGACCATCTTATACCAGGAAATGAGGAAGTGGTCAAAGAATTAAAGGAACATGTCAAAAACTTGAAGAGGCTCCGTTAACTAAATCTGGGACAATTTGAGACTCAAAGTATGAGAGTAACAGATTGTCTTACTTATAAAATAGGAAACAGAAGTAAGTATATATTTGTATGTATTAACATATACATAAGTATAAATGCCTGCATTTATTTCCTTACTCTGTCTACTGTGATGGCCTGGGAATAGCAGCACCTCAGGAGCAATGAGCACACCTAGTGACCAGATTTTGAGTTCTAAATACCATTCTTCATCAAGTAGAACCAGGTATCCTTGGAGAAATGGTTGATTCTAGACTTGAGTCTGGGAAAATACAAGACCTAGACCATCTTATACCAGGAAATGAGGAAGTGGTCAAAGAATTATAGGAACATGTCAAAAGCCTGAAGAGGCTTTGTTAACTAAATCTGGGACAATTTGAGACTCAAAATATGAGAGTAACAGATTGTCTTACTTATAAAATAGGAAACAGAAGTAAGTATAGATTTGTATGTATTAACATATACATAAGTATATATGCCTGCATTTATTTTCTTACTCTGTTTACTGTGATGGCCTGGGAATAGCAACACCTCAGGAGCAATGAGCACACCTAGTGACCAGATTTTACATTCTAAATACCATTCTCCATCAAGTAGAACCAGGTATCCTTGGAGAAATGGGTCTGGGAAAGT